TGCAGCTCCACTCGGGGCCCAAGGACAGGGTGACAGGATGTAACTGTTAAAGCCATTAAGTTCAGTGCTTAGCAAGAGCTCTCCCAGGGCTTACCTGTACCCCGTGCACTGGGAAAAGTGCTTTTACATGTGTGATCCTTTCAAATCCTCCCTCTGCACCCAGGGGAGCTGCAAACACCTCTTCTGCAAGTGGCCGAGCCACCAGGGGGCTCCTGTTTTGGGGGAGGGGTAGACTGCACTGGCAGAAAGATTTTAAGATCCCTCCAGTTCCTGGGGAGGGGCAAGGTAGGATCAGAGGGCACAGAGACCAGCTGCAAGGAGTGAAGGTTTCTGTCACTTTTGCCACACCTGGCTCCCCGGGGACCTGGGAGAGTTTCCCTTCTGACCTCCCTTGGCCCCCTTCAAATCTCCTGTGGGCCAAGGCATCTGGCAGACAATGAGCCCTGGCCCCGGATGAGTGGCTGGGGCGGGAAAGGTCCCATTTCCCCAGCCGTGACTTGGACGGGGACAACTTCCTGCTGGCAGTATCTGTGGCCACCTGCTTAGGAGATGGGAGAAACAGCTGCTGGGGATACCCCTGACGGGTGTCTGGCCAGGAAGTCTAGCTCATCATGGATCAGCAGGCCAAGGTGGGGTGAGGTCACGCACAAGAAATGGCAGAGGGTGCAGTGCCCAGAGACTGATCAAACAACAGGGAGCTTCTATCTAAAAATGAGCCCAGGAAAAAGCCAAGGGGACAGGAATGGGCCTTATCTGTCAAAGCTACTTCCAAGTCACTGAAGTGTGGCCACAATGAGCAGTGACTCTGGAGCCGAAGGCCAGGGTTCAAATCCCACTTCTGCCGCTTGCCTGCTGTGTGCCCCTGTGCAAACCATGTAACACTCTGGGTCTCCCTCTCTCACCTCTAAAGTGGATGTAATAGTAAGTACTTAACTCACAGGCTGTCATGAGGATCATATGAGTTAAATACAGGTATAATTTCAGCTGGCACACAGGTCCTTTTCTACTACCATACCACCATCCTATCCACCCTCCTCCACAGGGACTGTCAGAGCAGCCTCCCCAAGGCTCCCTGTGGCCAAGCCCCATGACTTGTCCCTCCCACAGCAGCCTGGGCGATCTTCACAGTGGGAAACCAGATGTTGCTCCAGACCTACAAAGATTCCCTGTTACACAAAGACCAAAACCCACATTCTTCACCTCCATCCATTAGCCCTGCTTTGTGTCCCCTATCCTCCCCTCAAAGACAATCAGGTCCTGCTCAGCCATACCAGCAGCTAAGATGGTCTTAGAACGTCCCAACCTCACCTGGACCACAGGGCCTTTGCCCTGCCTGTTTTCTTTTTTCTACCTCCTTTCTAGGCCTGGCTAGAGACTGTCTTTCTAACCAATTGGATGTCCCTTTTCCCAGAAAGTCCCTGTTGGGGCCTTCCATGGATTTCTACAGCCCCTGCCTTCACCTCTCTGTTGTTGTCTAGAGACAGCAGATCTGTGGCCTGCTGGGGGCTGTGCTGGTCACCACTGGGACCAACATGCACAGGCAGAGTGTAACAGGTGATGTCCAACCTCTTGCCTTCTCTGTCCTCCTTCCCAAGGAGGGTCAAGTCAGTCTCGGCCAAATGTTAAACATCATTCCACAAAACAAGGAGGGTTGACTCAAAGCTGTAGTTACTGTCCTGCATGCCTGGAAGGTAAAGGTCAAAGCCCTCACCAGCTGCCTCTTCCTATAATATGGCACTTAGTGGTGTCAAGCACTGTTAAGACAGTCATGTGAATCTCTCCCTACCTAGACTACTTCCCATCTAGACTGCTGACATGGAGTGCTCCCTAAAGCCTGCCTCCTCATGGTTGAATAAATCACTTCAGCTAGGGTCACGCACTGCCCATAGCAGGTCAAAGAGGGAGGGAAGCTTCAAAGTGCCACTGAGAAGCATATGTGAACCACTTTGGAGAGCAATTTTGCAGCATCTGGGAAAGCTGTGAGTCCCAGCACAGCTACTACAAGGCAGCTGCCCAAGAACGACTCTGACCATAGTACACAGGAACACACTCTAGAATGCTTACTGTGGCACCATTATAGGAAACTATCCAAATGACAACCTAAAGGGAATGGATAACTCCTGTATGATACAATCTCAAAAGAGAAAAATCCCAACAACACAGAAAACAAATGACCTGTTCTAGACTTTAATGGGAACAAAAGAAGCAAGCTACAGAAAAACATGTTTATGGTGACAGTGTTTCCAGGCACTGTGACACGACAGTAGTTGCCCTAGCTGGCTATGACAGCCTCCCCCAAGCAGTTCCAAGGCCAGCCCTGGTCAGACCAAGGGAGTCTAGCTCCTAATCACGGAGGCGGGCCTGGGCCCAGCAGACTCTGCTGCTCTCCAGGTAACTGCAGGGTGCAGCCAGCGTACAGAACTTTCGCTCTATTGTTTGTGAATACATTCAAGGGAAATAAAAGCTGTGGCAATGCTGACCGCCAAACCCAGGCTGCCAGGGGAGACAGGAGGGAAGGCAGGAGAGGGAAGAAACAAGCCCCTAGGCCTTTATTTAACCACATCCACAGTGAGGTCTGACCTAGGTCTCATGTTGGATGTCTCCAAGTTCTGTGATACTCAAAGTTCTACCTTTATCAATAGCCTAAAATATATCAGACAAAACTGACAAATTAGAAAGTACTTGACCAAAGTCCCAGGCTGGTAAGTGACAAGGCAAGGACCTAAACATGGGTTTCTAGTGGCAATGCTCTATTACTTCCATATGGGTGCCAAGCTGACATCGTGCGACTCAGAGCCTGGGCAGCCTCACAGGGTTCCCTGGCAGTGTGCCGGCTCTGGGACCTTGCTGGGCCAGGCAGGGGCGGGGCAGCTGTGGAGCAGCCAGGAGGCAAATGGGGAGAGGCCTTTCCAGCCGGGGTGGTGGCTACAGTGGCAACAAGACTAATGCTTACACAGCACCTACTATATGCCAGGCTTTGGACTAAACACTCTATGCTATGTCCTAATGGCAATTCTGCAGGGCAGCCACTGTCACTATGCCCATTCTGCAGAGGAGAAAACTGAAGCACACACAAATAGTTTCTCATCCCTCCCCTTCTCCCACTTGTCCCTCCCCTCAGGCTGAGCCTCTGAGGCTCTTACCCTGACCACACAGGCAACATGCTGCCTCCAAGATCCCACCTTTGTCCCTCTTACCATCACTCCCAGGGGCTCTACACACATAGCTCCTTCCCATTCCCCTCACTCATCCTTGAGCCCTTTCTCAAGGGGCTTTCCCAGGTGCATAGACCTCAGCCAGGCCCAAGACACTGTGCACTACCCAGCCCCCATCACTACTTGTAGAGATGGTGCTATATTGCACTGGTTGGAGATCTGTGGATCTTGTCTCATGCTGCAGTCCCAGCACCCAGCACTGTGCCCAACAGTCAGTCACACACTATCAACACAGCGTTCCCTGCAGCTGGGCAACACTCCAGGAGCACCCACTTTATAGCAGAGGAGGCAGACAACAGCAAACATGCACCCCAGAACAGAGTGCAGCACTGGGAGGCCAAGAGAGGGGCAGAGGGTACCTGGTGGCATTGAGGACCAGGGTGGTCCAGATCTGGCTGACAGTGACACATGAGTAAGAGGGGGCAGGTTGGGAAAAGGTTCCAGGCAGAGGGGACAGGAAGGTCAAAGCCAGGAAAGAGGCTTAAGTCTAGAGGTGAAAAGTTTGGGAGGTACCAGGAGAGCAGCAGGAAAGGAGCTAGGAGCTACTAGAGATCAAAGTGGGACAGGGGTTTTTAAGAACAGAGCAAGTTTGCACAGGGTCAGCCTTTCCTGCTGAAGCCCATCAAGATTCACTGGGTGCTGGGCCACCCACCAACATCCCACTCCCACTGGCCCACAGGAACCACCACTCCCAGATCACACCCTTCCATGGAGGCCAAACAGACACTCTGTTCCTGCCCAGGGAGCGGCTGGGGCTGGCCCTGCTTCCAGGAACAGACCTACTGGGAAGCAGACTATGTGGCAGCTGGGGGCAGGAGCTCTGGAATCATCCAGACCCAGTTTTGAATCTGCTTCCGTCCGTAGCAAAAGGTCTCTGAACCTGGCTTTTCCGACTCTGGGAAGTGGGTTTATCCCTCGCACTCATTTCCCAATATTAGGGCATAGTCAAACAAGACCAGGCACAGGGGGCAAAGTGGCGTGAACGCTCATTAAACATTAACCTGAGAGGCAGGAAGTCAAAGGAAGGAGGACTCTGGGGCAGAACTCCAGAGTGGGAATTCCTGCCCCATGACTAGGGCAAGTCACCTAACTTCTTAGTAACAGGTTAAGACGCCACAAGGTTATGGGGCGGACTAAATGAGTACAGATGTAAAGCGGCGACGCCGCGAGGAGGTCTAGCACAAGGTCAGAGCTTCCTGAGTGTTCGCTACTTCATCATTACTTGTGGAAAGGGGCTGCTCTTCTCCCACCACCAGGAAGGACACTATTCTAGATGCCCCAGTCCCTCCTCTCCCGCAATATGGCCTCTCTGGGTTAGCTCGGTCCCTCAGAACACCGGGACGTCGGACAGTGAACTCATTATCCTCGCGCCACGCCCCACCTTTGATCCCTCACAAGACGCCCCCCAACCTAAAACTCATTGTTCCTCTGGTTGCTGCCTTTAAACTTCCAATCCCCCGCCACCGTGGTAGTGACCTCTGACTCTGACTACAGGCGCACCCTCCTCTCAAATTACTAACTTTGTGTCCGTCCCTTCTACTTTGAGACGCATTTCGATCCCTTCGAAACGGATCCATATTTCAAATTTCAAACCGTGCATGCCCTTCGCTAGTTTGATCTCAGAGATCTTCTGTTCCTTCCTCTCCTCAGGTTGACCCCCGACCCCGCGGAGACCCTTCCCTCCAAGCCCAAACTTTGACCCCTGCGGCCCCGCCCCCTTCCGCGTGATCACTCTCCCACCAAGCTCCGACTACCCGAAACCCCTGGCCAGACCGCCTAACCTACCAGCTCGGCGCCGCAGAAGCTCACAGCCTAGCTATTCGGCCCGGAATTCCGCTCCCTCACGCCGCCCTCAGCTCTCTTGCACCGCTGCCACAGCGGCTACCGCCGCCGCCATGTTGAATCCCCAACGAACATCCGGGGCTTTCCCCCTTCACCACCAGTCCCCATAGCAACGGCGCCGACCAGGCAGCGGGCTGGACCTGCGCAGGGGCGGAGCTAAACTCCATGCAGCACCCACTTCAGCCCCCGATTGGTGCACATTGTCCAATCAGAGACCTCGGGCCTAAAAGGCCAAGCGGGGATTGGAAAATTTGGAAAAGGTGCAGGGAAACTGACTCCAGGTCCGCTCCGATTTTTAAACGGAAAAAGACTGCTTTCTTGTCACATATTCTCTCGAAAGGAGTTAAGGGGTGGAAAACAGTAATGGGTTATAATGGCCCTAACAGTTCTTAAGCACTTCCACGCACGTGGCTAAGCGCTTTACTTGCATTAGCTGGATACTTAACATAATTCTGTTGAACTATTAATATCCATTTTGGAGATAAACTGAGGCTCAAGCGGGAAGAGTAGCTACTTTATGATCACAAGAAGTAGCTGAGTTTAGAATCATGATAGATCTGAGCCTGGGAGCCTGATATTATTTGACCTTAATCTTTTTAGTAGGTTTGCAGCTCTCAGAGCATAAGACTGATTTCTTTGATGAATTATTAATTTTAATTCTGACTTATATTAATAAGTACTTAACAGGGGAAAAGTCACTAAAATAAAAATTGAGTTTTTAATATTATTTATTTTAAAAAATTTCAACATTGACTGGTTTTTGGTGTACAAAGTCTAAAAAAGAACATCAGAATTATTGTCATATGAACTACAATGGAAATACCAAGAGCACTTTACAAGAAAAAAAATTCTTTACTTCAATTATCACAATTGAGGCAGTCTGCACACATGAGAACAGCGTGCTCCATACACACACAACACTTACACTGACAGCATGTCTTTTGCTTTACTGTTCTCTTTGTAAGACATACTTGACATCTCAGTGGTCTTGCCGTTTTTTCAGGAGGTTCTTATATAGTGTGTAAGTAACAGGAACGTAAAAAATCAAAAGATAAATTATTAAATTCTTAGTATGTGCTGTGTGTTTAGTTCTTCTTTTTTCTTTCTTTTTTTTTTTTTTTTTTTTTTTTTTTTGTCTTTTTCCTTTTCATCGGTACTGGGGATGGAACTCACGACTGCCTGCTTGCAAGGCAGGCGCTTATGCCGCTGAGCTAAATCCCCAGCCCCATGCTGTGTGTTTAGAACAGATGTCAAAATTTTCACATCAGCTGTATACTTCCTTACAGAACCTAAACAATAGCATCAGAAATAAATTCATGTATGTACTATGAAAATACCAATAGAGCTCAACTACAAAAATAAGCTTTGCTTCAACTGTCACCCCCAAGGCAGTCTTCACACACGACAACTGCATGTTCCATGCACAAGAATCACACACATGGATAGGACATATGTTTTGTTTTCCTGTACTTTCTTGTAGGGCGCAGTTGGTATCTTTTTGGTTTTCCTGTTGTAATAGGTCTTTGTGATGCTGCTCCTGGCTGTTCACCTGTCAGCTCACCAGTGTGTGCCACAATATTTTTGTCTAGTATCCTTGGCAGAAACATTTTGTTTTTCCTTGCTGTAAATGATCTCTTACGAGCTCCAGTCCCAATCCTCTAAGAGAATTTCTGTGATATTTTTCACTTGTTATTTTCTTTGAAATCATCCAATTACTTATGCCACACATGTTTAGAATACAGTAAAACACAACCATTGGCCAATGCCAGTGACATCAAGTGACGTCACTCATAACATACTGCATAACTCAGCATCAACATCTACTGCACACTCGATTTCATTGTTGAAAGTCTCTATCTCAAAATGACATCTTAATAGGAAAAAAATAGCAGGATATATTATAGTAACCCACTTTGACTTTCCATTACCTCAATTTAAAGCCCTGTATTACTCTCACCATGTGGTTTTTAACTGATGTTCCCCCATTCTGTTTTGCTGGATAGTATCAGGTTCGAAAATTTAGGCATCAGCTGTGAAGATAATGAGATTCATTATAATGCCCATTCTCATTGACTTTTATCTATTTTTGAAGACCTACAATGTCTCCAATGTTTTGGTTTTGTCGGTTTTATTCTTTACAGTTTTGTTCAATTGTATTGTAACTAACAATATAGGCAATTCTATTAGAGATAGCGGGAGGCATTATGGTAACCATTGTTGATCACCTTGTATTATGTTTTCACATTATCTATTATGTCCACCCTTTTGACTTGACCGATTCTGTTCTGTTATGTCACATTTGGTTTTACTCTCTTCCAAAAAAGTAATAAGAACCATGGGAGCAATGAAACCCAAAATGTGTAATAGTCATTGTACAAAAGAGAGGAAAAGAAAGTGCTCTGTACTATATAACTGCATGTATATTTAAGTGTATAAGATAGAAAATGATATCACAGAGTTTTATTGGATCATTGAACAGAACTGTTTGCAGTATCATTGATGGAATGTCCACTTTACAAGCTTTAATTTTGTGACTTGAACAATTATTTCTAAGATGACAATATGTAATCCATTAACTAGTAATTTCCTACTGTTCATTTTTTTTTCTGCAAATCTGTATAACTTGTTCCCTTTCTCTGCTTTTTTTTTCTTTTCTCCTTAAATAAAATTTAAAAAAAAAAAAAAAAAAAAAAGAAAGTCTCTATCTCAGGCTGCCATTTTGTCAAGTGTTTCCCTATCAGTATTTCCAACATGGTTAAATGCTGACATCAGCGGTACCAGTTTACTTTTCATTGCCAAATAAAAGTTCAATGTTATATCTTTCTGAAATACAAAGACTGAACTATTTAATTCTGCTTTGAAATTACAAATGAAAATGTCTTATTTGGAATTTCTACTTTGTTCCTCTGTGCAGTTCCTGTTCTGCTCAACTTGTGCTCTGTTAGCAAACGAAACATCAACTGGAAACCAGTAAACCAAATGTTGAATGTGACATTACAGTTAGTTTGGAGGATGAGAGCCACATCACTTGGTTCATTACTATATGAATAAGGACCAGGGTAAATATCTAAGTCGAAAGAATAGTAAGTCTTCACATCTACAAGGCCGTAAACTTGTATACCATATTTTGACCCATCACTTTTCCGTAAGTCTTTTATATTCCTGTGATCATCATAAGAAATCTGAGATAAGTACAGCAAACCTATGAATTCTTTCAGTTCAGCTAGTGAGGGGCCATGATAAATACATTTTTAATATGGCTATTGGTGCATATAGAATGTTTTACATGTATTTCGGCCTTTGTGTATTTTATAGCATCTTGTAGCATTTCGTCCGTCACAAATTCCAACACTGAACGGCAGTGCTGGCATTCTGTCTAAATCATTTCACTCCTACCAAGACCTTCAAATGTATTTTTGGACCGAGTTCTAACACTGGATCATTCCATTTGGATGTGTGGCCATTTTGCAACATTTGGACTAGTTAAACATGTACTCACATTGCTATTTTCTTTGTCTTCTGAATCAAGGAGGTCTGCATTTCCTGTGTCTATATCAGTCAATTCTCATTCCATTTCAGTCACAGTAATTTTGGCTTACATAGCCAGTGTCAATGTCACCATCGTCAATGTCATCATCATCGTCACATGACCAAACCACTCTTCTGTTATGAAAACATATTTTGCCATAGTAGATCATCATCATCCACACATGAGTAAGCTAATGATTCACTTTTGACCTCCTCCAAAACTTGCAAATCTGGTTTTTCATGTGCCATTGTATTGAGCTGGGTTACTTCCACCAGAAAAATCAAAAGAAAACTGTTTTTGTTTTTTTAAACAAATCCTGGAGTGGGTCTGTTGGACCCTCTGTGATGCCCAGATAAACATATGCAAAACCAGTTAGCCGAGCATAAATGCAGAACCCAATCCCATCTTGACACCTTTGCATACACGCAGACTCCTTGCCATTTGTCATAGCAAGTGGATAAACGCACAGGTTGCTTCCTATATCCCTCAGGGAAATGCACTGAGACACACAGCTGATTCCTATAATGCTGAAGTATAAGTTTACAGTAGGAAAGTAAAGGAAGGGGCCACTGGACCCGGACATCCTTTGAGAGTTTAAGAAAGTAGTCAAACAATTGACAAACAAAAACCAGCTAAACTAATAAACTCAGAGATCTACAGTCTTACTCTCTGGACTCCAAGCGTCTTATTCTTCCTGAAATAAGGTGGTCTCCCACTTCAAGATCTTGTGTTGGCTCTTCTGTGGGGAACAGATTCCACCCTCTGCTATCCTTTGCTCTTCTCCTCCAGGAGTTAAAAATGTCACTTCCCAAGCCAGGTGAGAGACTGAGAGGAGGAGCCTGAAAAATTGGTTACTAACAAGACAGTCTCAAAATAAAAACTGATAAAAGGCTAGGGATGTAGTTCACTCCAAAGGGGAAAAAAAATCCAAAAACAAAAAACCCAAAAACCAAGTCACCTTTCCTGCTCATCCTACCACAAGCAGCAAATGTCCTTCTCACATGTTATCAAACCCTCCTTGTTGTCCTTGCTAATTGTGAGTACACTTTGTTGGTTGTCCCCTCTTGTGGCATGGGAGCTTTGAAAGGGCACAGGTTTTGTCTCTGTTCACTGGTGCCCTGTGTGCCGTTGGCTGGGAATGCTCCAGCACGTTTGCTGAGTGGCTGATTGGTGGAGTGGTAAACCCACCCCTCAGATATGCGCTGGAATGTCTGGTGCATCTCTTCTGCCCCAGCACACTGTCCAGCCCATAGTGGGCACTTCATTAATGTCTGTGGAAACCATGAATAAGTGATGGATGATAAGGGGTTTTTTAATGAGGTATTTTCTCTTTTCATTTACTTACTTTTTTTCTAATAACAATCAGAAACACACATTTCTAAAGAATGATGCAACATATCAATGATGACACATATCATTGGTATATTTCTATGCCATTAAACAGCCATCAAGAAAATTTATTGTTATTTGGCTGCACTGGAAATTTAACCAGGCTCTTGTGCATGCATAGTAACCTCAAGCTTCATCCCCAGTCCCTTTGAGACAGGGCTGTGCTAAGTTGCCCAGGCTGGCCTCAAATTTGGAATC